GAAACTAACATGCTGCTTAAAAATGAGTCATATCTGTAAAACGGATGCGCATGCAACACTCCGGTTTTGGAAGAAAAGTAAAATTCCAAAAGTGGACAAACAACCAGAATTTATTGCTGGAGTGTACAGCTAGTGAACCTAAAGAAGAAGAAGAATCTCAGTCTAGATGGCAGACCAACAAAGCAGATCTTAGATATAATATTTGACTTCCAAATAAGTTATAATTAAGGCACCCGTAAATGTTACGCCAGCCATGTATAACCTGCCGTCCTACCCGGGGAATGCCTGATGACATTAAAGATCTGATCTATCCCACACTTAATGACCTATCTATTCCCCACTTAACGACTTTATCTATCCCTCAACTTAATGACCTTATCTATCCTTGAATTAATGACCTTATCTAATCTTGAATTAATGACCTTATCTATCCTCAACTTAATGACCTTATCTATCCCCAACTTTATGACCTTATCTATCCTTGAATAAATGACCTTATCTAATCTTGAATTAATGACCTTATCTATCCTCCACTTAATGACCTTATATATCCCCAACTTTATGACCTTATCTATCCTCAACTTAAAGACCTTATCTATCCCCCTCTTAATGACCTTATCTATCCCCCACTTAATGACCCTATCTATTCACACTGAATGATTTTATCTAACCCCCACTTAATGTATTCTCTATACCCCACTAAATGACCTTATCTATCCCCAATTAGACCTTATCTATCCTCCTGTTAGGGACCTTATCCCCCACTTAAGGACCTTATCTATTACCACTTAAGGACCTTATCTATCCCCCACTTAAAGACCTTATCTATCCCCCACTTAAGTACCTTATCTATACCCCACTTAGGGACCTTATCTATCCCCCACTTAAGGACCTTATCTATCCCCCACTTAAGTACCTTATCTATCCCCCACTTAAGTACCTTATCTATCACGCACTTAAGGACCTTATCTATCACCCACTTAAGGACCTTATCTATCCCCCACTTAAGGACCTTATCTATCCTCCACTTAATTACCTTATCTATCACGCACTTAAGGACCTTATCTATCCTCCACTTAAGGACCTTATCTATCCCCCACTTAAGGACCTTATCTATCACGCACTTAAGGACCTTATCTATCCTCCACTTAAGGACCTTATTTATCCTCCACTTAAGGACCTTATCTATCACGCACTTAAGGACCTTATCTATCCTCAACTTAAGGACCTTATCTATCCCCCACTTAAGGACCTTATCTATCCTCCACTTAAGGACCTTATCTATCCCCCACTTAAGGACCTTATCTATCACCCACTGAATGACAGTAGCCACCGCAAACTGTTTCTTTCCATGGTGCTTATTGTCAGAAGTGGAAGTTGATGATTTTTCTTCTTAGCGTTCACCAGTTGTAAACTCCAGTGAAAAGTTCTGGTTATTCATTCACTTCGAGACTTTAGTCTTGTCACAGAACTTGAGTTTTGCATGCACATCAGTTTGACAGATCTGGCTTGTTTATAAGCAGACTGTTGGTTCCTTGTCTCTTAGGCAGATGCACTTCGACTTGAATAAAACCCCCAGTTGGTTTAATCTTATAGCATGCTTGTTAGGGAGACAGTAGGTCTGTTCATTTTTCTCCCATAATGGGGTCCCAGAACCCACACGGGGAGTAATTGATGAGTATGAGGAAATCTCAGTTTCATTACATTAACAGAAAATCTGTGATGAAATTAACAGAACATCTTTTCCCTCTTCCTCTTACAAACTAGCAAAATTATCATGAAAGCCAAGTCCAACCACATCAAAACTGCAAACAAATGATACAATTCTCTTGGAAGGTCACAGACTCATCAGGGATTCATTAATGATGGGTGTCAAGGCAAAAAGCATCTACTTCTGTGATCCTGACATTCTACAAGGCCTACCAGTCGGTTTGCTGAAAGATGTTGAGCTGTTTAAAATTTTGTACAAAGATATGAAAGTCTGGTCAGATGCCGTCACTCCTTATGGGTATGTTTTTTTTGGGGGGTTTATAATATCTTAATAAATTCATCCTACTGAGTTGGCCAAAGGATGTATATACACTAGTCGCCCAGCAGTGAAGTGCATAAACATACTTATAGAGGCTATTTGTTTAAATATGTCGTCATTACAGGACATATTCTGCCATTTTTATATTGAATTATGGTAGCTATATGTTGTATGATCCTAAGGCGACCCAGCCTTGAGTGGGTACCAGGTGCAGTCCTGGGAAGTAAAGGCAGCCGGCGTGATGCTGACCCCATTATACATCTTGTGCTGATTGGTCTTTAAAAATATTGGTCTAGCCCTATATGCCCTGTATGCCAAAAGGCAAGGAAAAGGGACCTTGACTTCTTGTTTTCATGCTGCCATAATCTTTGTTGCATATGCATTGAGTCAATTAGAGTCAATTAGTTTTTTTTAAGAGGTGGAGGGGGGGGGTTGCCACAACTGCCTAAATGACAGGCTTCTATCGAAAGTGATACCCAGGTACCTCAGTTTGCTTTCTGTTATGATGTTTCTGCTTGGGACATCAGCTCGTGCAATCCTACTGTCCAGAGAGCACCATAAAACTGTCGCCTTTTATGGGTTGAGGACAGCACCATTTCTGCACACCGGTCAGTCACTTTGTCCATGGTCTGTAGTTCTTGGGCAGTCCGTTGCCTGTTGCACCCGTTGCCTGTATGCAAGAACATCATCTGCAAATGTCAGTGTCCTTCCAACACCTGGTGCTTCAAGCCCTCAAACTTGCTTGCATAGAATAGCATGAAAAACCCTTTTTTCAGTAATCATAACTCTCATCCACAGGTGTGTTTCAAAAACCCCAGCAAGGAGAAGCCTTATGCCTGCCAGAGACCACACTTCCAATCAGTCTGATATTTGACGGCGTGAACGATCCTGGAAATGTTGGGACATTAATCCGTACAGCTGCTGCTGTTGGTTACCAGCGAGTCATTACTACCAGAGGTATTGTACATTCTACATTTTATGGACAGATCAGAGCAAGTTATTACTCTACGCTTTAGGACAGGACACAGTCTTCTCAGCCACACGAACACAAAATTTAAAATCGGCGAATCAGCCATGTGCACATGTGGACTAGCACCTGAGACAACAGATCATGTCCTCCAAGACTGTCCCGTATACAATATATCAAGGCACAACTTTGGCCAAGAGAAACATCGGTGCAAGCCAAACTTTATGGGTCGCTGGGTGAATTACAAAAGACAGTGAAGTTCATACTAGAGACAACATTGCAGATATAGATAATTTATTTCAAGCAAATGAAAGAAGAAGTTCTACGTTGTCTGGAGATTTAGTTCCTCTGCTTCTTCTTCTTTTCCTCCAGTTACCTCTTAGAAGTATGTTGAATTAAGATCAATATCACAGCACTCAGGACACTCCCATAAGCGCTCAGTCCCTATCTTCAGCAGCAATCGAAGAGTTCTAGTTCCGATGACACCAGTAACCGTCTGATTGTATATCCGTCTCAACCTTCCCCTGAGTGCCCAGCATGGGCCAGACTCCCTGGTAACTCCTCGCAGCGTCATTTTTCTCGAAATGACCTTAATGATCTATCCGTCCTTCCACACTGTTCACTTCATTGAAGTATTGAGCTAAGAACAGACATCAAAACACTCAGGATATTCCCAATATGCACTCCGTCCTCATCTTCAGCAGCCAGCAAAGAGTCCTAATTCTGATATTGCCAATAGTAGTTTAATTATATGTCTGTCTCACTTTTCCTCTGATCCTTTGGTCACTCCCAGCTGTACCATTCTCTGGAGGCCCTAATGATCTATTCCTGCCTCCATATTGTTCAGTTACTCTCAAAGGGGCTGGACCACATACAGGCTGTCATGCATCAGTTCACCACCCATTTATGCGGATCCAGCCAGTCCTTCATGCCCCGAGGAAAATATCAAAATAAGGATGATTGCCTTACTTTCAGGTGTTGTAGAGACATGTCAGATCCTGTGTGTATGTGTATGGAGGCCGGGTCGGTGCAGTCGATAGGAGACTTACTTACAAATCCAGCTACAGCCCTCAGCCAGTGTTGAAAACTGGGCAGTTCCCGGGGTTCAACCAGCTTCTAGGTAATGGGTACCAGAGTTTACCCTCTGGGGTAGATTGAGAAACGTTGCTGTAGCTACGGAGTTGCGTGCAGATGGTGACACAGGCAGACTGTTTCTAATCAGCTGTCAGTACTGGTGGCAGAGCACTTATGGTTTATAACCGTGTTCAGTGACGCTGGTTCACATCCCCCAACTTCACCTTTATGTGTGTTTTTCTCGTGCATTTTATAAGATGATCTTTGTCTCTTTAAGGCTATCGTTCCATATTTTGCATGGTCTTTCCTTTGCTCTGTGTTCATTGCTTGGATGTGGCTATCTGTGACATTGGTACCCGGGCATTCTCGTTAAATGACCAGATCTTGTCTGTTGCTTTTGAATGGCATGTATGACTGTTTTCAGTCGTGGTCTTGTTTCTTCTTGTTTTTTCGTCAGTATTTCCATCTGTAATGAACGATCGGAATCTGTAAATGGTTATGCCCACAAAACTCAAGACTTGAAACAAGATCAAAGTCCAGAAGTGAACGAACAGCCAGGACTTTCCGGGACTTTCCGCCAGAGTTTACAGTCAGCGAAGAAGAGACCAACAGTTTTTTTTTTCTTTAAACATAACATTAGTAAGGCCATCGTAATGTGTACGGCAGCAAACATTTGAGCATATCTTTAAACAATTTTAAAACACTTTAGTAAAGCCATCAAGACTTGTTCTGGAGTCTATTCAGCACAAGGACACTGGCAGAGAGCTGTTTGGCTCCCACCTAATTTATGTGAATGTTTGTTGAGTTTGCAGTGTCCAGTTCCTAAGCATGGCTTATTTGTATGCAGGCTGTTGGTTCCTTGCCTCTCAGGCAGATGCACTTGTTATGTATCATTTGTTCATTAATAATGCGTATATTTTCATGGAACAGGTACTGTAAATGTATGGGACTGCAAAGTGTTGAGATTTGCTATGGGAGGTCACTTCTGTGTTCCCATCTTTGCTGGCATTCAGTGGTCAGACATGTCAAATTTGTTGGGCAGTGAAGCTCAAGTTTTCCTGGCAAACACACGGCAGTCCAGTTTGCTGGAAGAAACATTTGACGAGAGACTTCGGATCGAGGAGCTCGATGAAGGTAAATAGTTACACCTTGGTATATTTGGCATGTCTTGTGCTCAGAGTGGTTTGCATGCTTGATAACATTGCAGACATGTAATTGACAAGAATAATGCTTTCCATTTGGTTTACCACACACCAGACAGGCAACTACTTAGAATGGCCAAAGCTTTAACAATTAAAATCAACAGTTCCCTCCTTTGCAAGCAGACAATTTATAGTAAATTTTAAATTACCTTGGTAAATCCTGTGACTACAATTAACGTCCGGCGACAAACACGATAAATAGAACAAAAAACATTTGTATTTCAGTTGGATTTATTCAATTTTTTAAAATCCTTTATGATATGTTGATTTAACTCTGTAGTAATGCACCTGATGCGATTCAGCGAAATATTATTTAAATGTCCTGTGTTATTTGACCATGATCTGTGGGTGTATGGTGATAAGCATACTGATAGCTTAGCTGCTGCTGCCACCCCATGTGATGAGCTACTTTATAATAATTTGGATGCGATGATGGCTATCTCTTCCATCTGCTGTTGTCATTATATATTAGGCATATCTTCTTCTTAATGTCCGTGCCTTGTGGCGTTGATAGTCATGTCAGTCCACAACCTTCTCTCTTGTGTACTTTCAATCACCTCTGACACAGATGATCCTTTATGCCATTATGTCACATTGTCCAGCATCTTTTCTCTAGGTCTCCCTCTGCCTCTCCTCCCCTCCAACTTTCCCACTGTCATGATGTACTCCAGTTTTCTCCTCCTCATCACATGACCAATGAATGCAGACTGTCTCTTTCTGACGTGGGCTAGGCTTTTTTTTTTTATTGACCGATCGCCACTTTTTGGGTGATGTTGCAAACATCGTGCCTGCCACCTTTGTTGTGGGGCTAAATGTTTGTTCACCATTTTTCAAATATGCCAGTGAGGAACATTTTGTTTGATTTTTGCTGGAACATGAATGGAGCAAGTATAGGGAAACCTGATCGCAGTGAAGTTGAAATCTCGACTAAGACTAAGGTTGTCACTGACTCCTTAAAAAATGCCACAAACAAAATCATAAGGAATCTTGTGAGGAAAAAAAAATGAAGGGAGGAGTGCTGGATAGTTTTTATTATTGCTAACATGATTGTCTTTTTTTTTTCCAGCATTGAATGACAGCAACATCTCCGACAGTGACAAAGAAACTGACAGTGATTCTGATGAAAAAGAAAATGAGAGAGTAGACTTTGCTGCCGAAGTAAATGCCCGACAGTTTCACAAAGTCCCGCTGCCAGTGCGTGACTACTCCGACATCACCGTGTCCAGACAAAGCAGGATGCATGTGGCACTGGTCCTCGGTGGGGAGACAGAAGGACTCAGCGCCCAAGCCAAGCAGTTTGCCTACAGCAACTACGGATGCTATGTCAGCATCCCCATGGAGATGTCAGTGAACAGTTTGAATACTAGCATTGCAGGGAGCATTATTCTATATGAGCTGAGAAAGAAATTGTTGGCAGAGGCAGCAGTAAAGCACGCTTCACCCAAACAGTAGCATTATAGGGCAACAGTAAAGCACGCTTCACACAAACAGTAGCATTATAGGGCAACAGTAAAGCACGCTTCACACAAACAATAGCATTATAGGGCAACAGTACAGCATGCTTCACACAAACAGTAGCATTATAGGGCAACAGTAAAGCACGCTTCACACAAACACTAGCATTATAGGGCAACAGTAAAGCACGCTTCACACAAACAGTAGCATTATAGGGCTACAGTAAAGCACGCTTCACACAAAGAGTAACATTAGGGGGCAAAAGTAAAGCACGCTTCACACAAACAGTAGCATTAAAGGGCAACAGTAAAGCACGCTTCACACAAACAGTAGTATTATAGGGCAACAGTAAAGCACGCTTCACACAAACAGTAGTATTATAGGGCAACAGTAAAGCACGCTTCACACAAACAGTAGCATTAAAGGGCAACAGTAAAGCACGCTTCACACAAACAGTAGTATTATAGGGCAACAGTAAAGCACGCTTCACACAAACAGTAGTATTAAAGGGCAACAGTAAAGCACGCTTCACACAAACAGTAGTATTATAGGGCAACAGTAAAGCACGCTTCACACAAACAGTAGTATTATAGGGCAACAGTAAAGCACGCTTCACACAAACACTAGCATTATAGGGCAACAGTAAAGCAAGCTTCACACAAACACTTGCATTATAGGGCAGCAGTAAAGCACGCTTCACACAAACAGTAGTATTATAGGGCAACAGTACAGCACGCTTCACACAAACAGTAGCATTATAGGGCAGCAATACAGCAGGTTTTACATCAGCGGTTCTCAAGCAGGGTGCCGCGAGCGTATGCCAAGGGTGCCAAGGCAATAATAAAAAATTTGTCGTTTCATTTATTGCATTAAAGACAACTGAACATTAAATTTGGACTGGTTTTTTTTCTTCTTTACATAAGTGTTCAAACCACTTTAAAGGTAGCTGTGCCACACATTTTTTGTTTAGCTAGACAATTGTGCCGCTGGGAAAATGTTTAAGAACCGTTGTTCTGCACAAAGAGTAATTTTAAGGACAAAAGTGCAGAAGGTTCTACACAAACAATAACTTTATAGGCAAACGTTTCTGAACACACAATAACTTATGTAGTGTTTGTTAAGTCCCACTACACTTTGTTTGCAGAACAAAGTTGACAAAAGAAGTACATAAAGTAAAGTAAGTAAAGAACATTTTTCCACACCTTTAGGCGTATAGGACTAGACCTATATTTTTTAGACCAATCGACACAAGATGGGTGATGTGGTCAGCATCACGCCGGCCGCTTTACTTCCTGGGACTTCACCCGGTACCCACTAATGGCTGGGTTGACCTGGGAGCCAAGGTCATTTATGTAAAAAGTCCAGCTCTGCCAGAAAGCGAACCCATAACCTTCCGATCCGAAGGTGAGCGTCTAGCAACTCCGCCGTGGCGACTCCCAAAAGAAGTAAATGACATCATTTTTTTTTAAAAATTGCTTTAAAAAGTCTAAATTAGTTACAAAAGTCATTGCCATTATCTAACACTGTTTTAGAAAAGCTGGCATTACCCATGAAACTACGTAGTAGTAGTAGTAGTAGTAGTGGTGGTGGTGGTGGTAGTAGTAGTAGTAGTAGTAGTAGTAGTAGTATTAGTAATATTAGTAGTAGTAGTATTAGTAGTAGTAGTATTAGTAGTAGTAGTAGTGGTGGTGGTGGTGGTAGTAGCAGCAGTAGTATTGGTAGTATATTTTACCCCACTGGGGAATCACACAAGCGATAAACACAAAGTGCCACCATGTGGATAAGGATCACCCGTGGAGAGGTCCCAGAAACCGCATTCAGCCATAAGGCCATAGTTATGGCCGGGCTACATGGCAACCCCTGGCAAGAGCCAGGGTAGGGCTTCAGAACAACGAAAAATTGCATCCCAAAAGGGGATGACAAGACTCAGAAAAGTACAATATGTACTTTCAAGTTATAAAGGCGACAAATAACAAAAGCAGTGAGTGAGTGATGTTCACCCCCACCAGGACATCCGCCAAGTGATAAACACCCGATGGCACACTGTACCACCATGCAGATGAGGATCACCCAGGATCGCAAAAATCCTGTTCAACTCATAGGTTGGGTTTTATTAGGGACCCGGCAAGTCAGGGTGGGGCTTTCAAACAACCAAACATTGCCTGTTATACTTTTTGTTTGCCTTTGTCAGCTTTTATTTTGATTCAAATTTCCTTTACATTCTCCGACGTTACATGATATAATTAATGATACATAAAAGCATTCTATTTACAGAATATACATGTGTGCAGAACATTCGTTTCTCCTCTCTCTTCCCATTCCTTTTCTAGCCACTCACTCACACGCTCCCAATCTTTCTCTCTCTCTCTCTCTCTCTCTCTCTCTCCCTCTCTCTCTCTCTCTCTCTCTCTCTCTCTCTCTCTCTCTCTCTCTCTCTCTCTCTCTCTTGTTATCTCTGTCA